AAATAAATAAATAAATCTTTTTTTTTTTTTTAAAAAACCCACTAATTTTAAAACAGATTGCCAGTGCTTAGAGATAGAGGATCAGCCAGTTGAGTCAACATGTCGGCCCCTCCTGCTACAGTTACTGAATTCAATTGTTTTCCCTAGTTCTGGTTAAAATATTCAAGTCTGGGCCTGGTGCGATTGCCTAGTAGCTGAAGTTTTCACCTTGCATCCACCGGGGTCCCATATGGCTGCATCAGAAGTCATTCCTCACTAACTTGACCCCAGTGAGTGAGCTGTAACTCCTGTGTTTTCACTTGGCCTGTTCACTGAGCACAGATACTTGGGTCAGAGCAAGAATTACAACAATTTCTCTCTCTATATATATATCTTACTCTCTTTCTCTCTCAGAGGAATAGAAGATATTTTTTTGCCTTTTTTTGCCTGATGTGACACAGTAAAATCACCAGGATAACAAGGAATTATTTTCACTTTATCTTAAAAAGTGAGCAGTGACCTTGTGGATCAGGGCAACTCGATAGTAACGTTGTTAGTGTGGAACAGGGGATTTGACCTTGGATGACAAGTGCAGTGTATTCAACTGGGAAGAGACTGAAATAAAGATGGAGCCTTTCATGAATCCATTCCTATGATGCCTGGGGTAGCTGCAAATGAGAGCTGGTGAGAGTAAACGGCTCTAAAGGAAGGAGAAATGGAACACAAAATCCTTCAACATGGGTTATATGAGAACGATTATGAAAACAAAGCGTTCAAAGACTAAAATGTGAAGACAATAGTGGAAAAATGTAGGGAACAAACAGAGAAAACTTACAAGTGCTGATTCTAAAATCATTGAGAGAAAAAAAAAGTTGGAATGCTTTGGGAAAGTGTTGGGTAAAAGCAGAGGCTTGGGGAACAGTAAGTGCTCAAAACCAAGCAGCTCTCCTAGCCCTCCAGCCGTGCGGCCACTGCCCCCTGGTGGCAGATGTTCATAACTTCCAGTACTAAAGGCAGCTTGGATAAAGTCAGAAAGCAGGAATAGCTGAGAAGGGTACTTCTCAAGGAGTCAGTGCGCCCTAGGATGTACTAAGGTTCTGGGTAAGAGGTGCATGGAGGAGCACATGTAATTTATAAAGTTAGCCTCTGGAGTCATTTAATTTGTTATAAAATCAAACATATATTAAATTATATAATGTTATTGTTTACATATAACACAAACAATATACATAAATGATTTGATTATGATGGGATTATTTATGTATAAATTGGTAGTACTGAATTATGTAATATTTTTAAAGCAAAGAATAGCAAGCTGTGTGAGTCAGTGCTGCTGCTGGTCTCAAGGGGATGTTTTTGTGACACTGTGAACACAAAGAACCCATCTTGGAATGCAATGAATTTGTCCTCACCGCTGCTGGTTGCTTACCTCCGAATCCACAACCGTTCTCCCAGTCTCTGCAGGTGCTTGCAGGGTCTAAGATTGTATCTCCATGCTTCCAGTAGATCCTTCCTTCAAGCAGCACCACTTCAGCTACAGCAATGCCAGCTCTGCCCTGGAAAGACAGATAAATAGCACTTAGAGGCCTGAATATCCTGCTTGTATACAATCTCCACTTTCCTGTGCTCAGTTCATGAATTTCTTGGATATTTATTTACTCAGTAGGTACTAGTTGGGCACCTACTGTGTGATAAATGTCACTCCAAGCCTTCAGCAAAGGGCTCAGCATTATGGGTAGTAGGTTTAAATGCCTCCACCTGCAGCATTGGCATCCTGTTTAGGCACTGGTTCAAGTCCCAGCTTCTCCACTTCTGATCCCACTCCCTACTAACGTGACCAAGAAACCAACAGAAGAGGACTCAAGTGTGTGGGCTCCTACACTCCCGTCAGAGACCTGGAAGAAACTCTTGGCTCTTGGCTTTGACCTAGCCCACCTGTGGTCATTATGGGTACTTGGAATGTGACCCAGCAGAAGGAAGAGTTGAATTGGCACTCTGACATGGGATGCTAGCATCACAAGTAGTGACTTAACTCGTGCCTCAGTGCCAGCCTGTGTAGTTTTCATTTCTGGTTGTCTTAGGATCACCAAGCCACTGAAGAATGAATGCAAAGAGAGATGGCAGAACCTGGAAAGTCATTTGAGAATGCGCTAGTACGGTGGCCTGGTGTCACCAAAGTCAGATTGCACAGGCCTACTCTGAGTGGTTATTTCTTCTAGTCCTCATTGCTATCTGTAAGTGTACACTCATTTGTTGCTCATTTGTAGGGGAAGTCACATAAAGAGTAGGGATGTTCAAAGGCACGAGCATGAGGGAATAACATTTTGATGGGCAGCAACTCATTGCCTGGTTCCTGTGGTAATTACTCCAGTATCACAACTGAAGAACACGGTCCTGTAAGCCAGAGTGTCCTCTTTGTCCTAATGCTCCAGAAGCACAGCCTGTCACATCTGAAGAGGAAGTTGAAAGGGTTCCTGACATGTGATATATTTTTCTATTCAACAACTTTTTAAAAGATTTTTTTTTATTGGAAAGTCAGATATACAGAGAGAAAGAGAGACAAAGAGGAAGATCTTGCATTCGTAGTTCACTTCCTAAGTGGCCGCAACAGCTAGAGCTGAGCTGATCCAAAGCCAGGAGCCTGGAGCCTCTTTCGGTTCTGGGTGCAGGGTCCCAAGGCCTTGGGCTGTCCCTGACTGCTTTCCGAGGCCACAAGCAGGGAGCTGGATGGGAAGCGGCACCCATATGGGATCCCAGTGCATGCAAGGCAGGGACTTTAGTCACTACGCTGATATTATTTCTACCAATTTTTCTCTGACCCTGAATCAGATCTTGATTACTGCTATTACTCATTTGAGCTATCAGAGTCCACAAATTGATGAAATGTGAGGATAACTTACAATAATGCATTTCCTTTTTCCAGATTTCTTCCTGATCCTCCTGAATTGTATCAACCTCTGCAAGGAAATACATTATTTTGCTTGTTAAAAGTTTAGTCTTCTTTAAACAGCCTGTCCTGTATTTACTGATATGACACTAATACATATAATATGCAACTGTTCTTTTCAAGGATTTTTAAAAAGTTTTACTTATCTTTTACTGGAAATTCAGATATACAGAGAGGAGGAGAGACAAAAAGGAAGATCTTCCACTTCCTGATTCATTCCCCAAGTGGGCACAACAGCCAGAGCTGAGCCAATCCAAAGCCAGGAGCTTCTTTTGGGTCTCCCATACAGGTGTTGCATCCCAAAGCTTTGGGCCATCCTTCACTGCTTTCCCAGGCCTCAAGCGGGGAACTGGATGGGAAGTAGGGCCACCAGGACATGAACCAGTGCCCACATGGGATCCTGGCATGTGCAAGGCAAGGACTTCATCCACTAGGCTACAGTGCCATATCCTCCTTCAAGGATTAGGGGAGCACCACAAACAGGTGTCGTGGAACTCTGTGTGCTCCAGGTTTGAGCTCATCACTGTAAGGCCTTAGTCCACAGTCCTCACCCTACTGCCAAGCCAATGCTTGTTTACTATGAACTAGTTTTTCTTTCATAGTTTGGCTCACTTGTTTCATACAATAGTTTTTCCCATTTCTCCACTTTTTTTCTTTTGCTTTATTTGCTATGGTTTGGATATGAGTTGGGTTTTTCTTTCATGAGTTTGTATGCTGGGAGCTGGACCTCAGTGTGACAAATGATAAGAGACGGGATGTCACAGGTCAGACAGAGGTCCTCAGGGACAAACTCTCAGGAGGGAATAAGAGAATTCTCATGAGAGCTGAGTTAGTTCTTGTGTTGGACTGTTACATAGGCAAAGCCTGGTCCCCTTACAGATCCTTTGTGTTCCTTCTCAGTGCTGTAATTTATATTCTGTCTCTATGTCCTCTCTCTTAGTCTCATCCCTTGACATTGTGGTATTTACCCTCCTTAATAACAAGATACAGTCAAGGGGTCCTCATGGGGGCAGGTGTCATGCTTTGCACTTACAACCTCTTCAACTACGAGCTACATAAACCTCTTCTAAGTACCCAAGTATCTCATCACAGTAATGAAATACAGTTTAATACAGTGCTGTTGCTATCTTCAACACAGAGCATTCCTAAAATAAAAATTGGATAGGCAAAGCATGTGAAACATTGGATAGTGCTACAAGTAGAAAATTCCACACCTAACCTCAAGTGATAGGTTGCAGTTAAAACACGGGTAGAGTACAAATGCTGCACAAAGCTCGTTTCGCCTATGCATACACGAGATATAAATCAAATTTGTCTTTAGGCTTGGTTCCCATTCCCACGCAGGCTCATCATCTATATGCAAATATTCTAGAATCCAAAACCCAACCTCTTTGGTTCCCAGCATTTTGAATAAAGGATACTCAGTTTCTGTTCAAAACACTTAGCAATACATGATACTGGCAAAGTTCTAATAAAATAGGAACTGAATCAGCCACATGACTTGTCTAATCCACCTGTTACACATGTACAGCAGTTTGTTTCCCTAAAATTTGAATGTTAATAATCAACCCCCCTGTGGGATAATATCAGGAGGTGGGCTTTTGGAATGTAATTAGGGCTAAATTAGGTGATGAGAGTGGGATCCTAATGATGGAACTTATGCCCTTACAAAAATGGAACAGAGAAGGGATCTCTACAGAAATAACCAAGGAATGCATGTAAGGACACACCTATAGGGAAAGCCTTCCCAAAGCACTCAGCCATGCTGGCACTTAGACACCAGGCTTTCAGTCTGCAGAAATACAACAAAATCACTGACATTGCTTAATCCACTCACTCCACCACATTACAGCAGCCTGAAGTAAGAAATCACCATTCACCAGTGAGTCATGTTCCTCTTCATCTTGAGTCTCTTGCAATCTCTCTAGCCCAGGCACTGGTTTTCATATTTAATTTAGAGGAATATAAGCTGATTGATTGGAGAAAGGCAAGATGACTATCACTATTAAAGATAACACTAACAACAAGCAGTATCAGCACTCTTGAGTTTATTGAGAATATCAAGTACCAACAGCAAATATCCTTTTTTATCAAGCATTTATTCAGCATCTATTGGTATCACAAGGGGATCAAAGGCATTTCTGTTTGCGTGATTGATTGTTATCACTAGGTTGAAGGGGTGAGGGACACTGGATTTCAAAGAACTTGAGTCAAATCTAAAAATGTTTGTCAAGTTCACAGCTATATTAAAAAGGTAAAGTAATTGGATGTGGTGGTTTATTGGAAGTGGATGCCTGACATTTAGCTGTCTGACCATATTCAGATAACCCATGCCCTTGGCCCATCTAACTGGGATATGCACTCATTATTGCATCCTGGATGGTCTCAGGAAACTAAGCATGTGAGCTGGCAAACATGCACTATCCTACTTTTCTCTAGGAATCTGGATTTAAAAATCCAGAGGATTTTAGCCTATTTGGAAGTAAATCAGTTTTTGGAATATGACATTTTAAGGAGAACTTTAGCATCCTCAGCCACTGTGTCAAGCAAATAATATTGCAAGTAAAAGACTCTCCTAAAGTAAAGACCAGTAGCAAGAAGACCTCCATTGGCTGAACAGAATATCTCAAAAGATCTCAAAAGCTTTTCTCCTATTGTTTGGTTTTTCTCAGTGTCAAATAAATGAGGAGATTTAAGGTTCCTTTGGAGTTCTTTCACAGGCACTTTCAAATCTTTAGCCAAACTATGTAGAGATAAATCATCCACTCCAAGCTGGACTTGATACTGGTGAAGGCTCTTCTTCAGTTTCTCCACATCTTGGTCCTGAATGATGCCAACCAGAGGCACGGTAGCCAGAAACCCAGCCTTTAGGGCTTCTAGCCAGACAATCTGCTTCAGGGAGTCCCTCTTTTTGTCAATGGCGGCCTCAGTAATATTGGGCAGGGAAAGTGTGAACACGTGGCGCTTTTCAGCAGGAAGATCCTCTAGTAGGGTGTCCATTAGGATTGGGAAATCAAACTCAGACAACTTCAAGCTGGATATTAGGAAGATTTTGGCATCAATATCACACCTGTGAAATTCCCGCTGAGCCGTGTCTCGGATCTTTTTCAAGACTTTTTCCCTGTCAAAACTGTTTGGTTTAGTGCTTTGTTCATTTTGTAAATCACTGTCCACCTTGGTTCTCACAAAGTAGAAATTCTTCTTCATAGCTTTGATCGCCTGGGCCAGGTCTATGTCATCTTTCTTGAAGCGTGTTGCACAAACAATAATAAAGAAGTCATACTCAGCAAATTTGACTTTCTCCAGATAATCTTCTGGCTGGAAATTAAGGGTTCCAATGCCAGGTAGGTCCCATATTTCCACACTGGGAAACTTTGGGTGTTTGTATGACCTTATCTCCATGGTTGTCTCCTCTGCCCCAGTGGCGGCTGCATCTTCTTCTTCGTGTCCAACCCCTCTCAGGGCGTTCACCAAACTGGATTTCCCTGACCCTGTCTCCCCAGTCACAGCGATGTTGAGTGAGAGTTTGTCAATATCTTTTAATGCATCACTGATTATGGTGTTTGCACCTTGAATATCTCCTTTTGCCAAGCGTAACTGAATTGAAGTGCTTGTTTTCTGAGAGATGATTACACTTTTTTGATTAAAGTTCTTGAAATACTCCTTAAAGTGGTTGGGCAAATCACTGCGTTCATCAGAAGCTGGAGTTGAGACAAGTGAGCCCATGACTGCAAGCAAATAATCAACCTACAAGAAAGAAAGGTGGGGAAAGCTGAATGGGATGGTTGTGCTTAGGAACATGTTTGTATTTTCCTTCTTTTTTTTTTTTCCTTAAGAGATCTACTTTATTAATGTGAATGACAGAGCTAGAGAGAAAGAGAATTCTTCCACCTGCTGATTCACTCCCCACATAGCTGCAATGGAAGACATTAGGGCAGGGACACTAGCAGGGAGTTGGATCAGAAGTGAAGCAGCCAGAACTCAATTGGAGCTCATATGGAATGCTGACACCGCAGGTGGTGGCTTAACCACTGCACCACAGTGCCAGCCTCTACACTTTTCCTTTAACGAAGCACTGTGGCCTCAGTCATGTCCTGACTCAAATCAATCTTCATATCTTTCTGTTTTCTCCTATTTATGCTCTTATGGAATTTAAAAACTCATAGCCAGGAAGAACAAAGTAATAATAAATTCCATGTGTCATTGACCAGTTTTGATAACCATCAAAAGCAAACGTAAGACATCCCATATCATTCCGTGAACAAATTCTTTAGTATGTGTGCTGAACTTATAAGGTGTCTCAATCAACTTTCGCAAATTTATCACAAAAAGATAATTAATTCACATCATGTTCAATCTGTGTCAAATTTTCTTCTTGGACATTATAGCATTTTGCTCTTATATTTTTACATTATTGGTTAGAATGAAAATATCAATAAAGGACACTTATTATATTTGATGAATATATCCTAAGGTGTTTCATTGCATTTCTTGTGCATTTTTTCTGATGTTGGTATTCACATCCATAAGTCCTTTTCATTTAGTGATATTATTTTTTTTTTAAAGATTTACTTTTATTGGAAAGTCAGATATATAGAGGAGGAGAGACAGAGAAGAAGATCTTCCATCCGATGATTCACTCCCCAAGTGACCGCAATGGCCGGTGCAGAGCCGATCCAAAACCAGGAGCCAGCAGCTCTTCTGGGTCTCTCCACACGAGGGTTTGGGCCATCCTCAACTGCTTCCCCAGGTCACAAGCAGGGAGCTAAGTGGGAAGCGGGGCCGCCGGGATTAGAACCGGCACCCATAAGGGATCCTGCATGTTCAAGTCGAGGACTTTAGCCACTAGACCACGGCACCGGGCCCTTCATTTAGTGATATTATTAACTTTCAGTAATTTAAAGCTTCTTCATTCTTCAAACTTACATTTAGATTCATTTGGTTAAGTAATAAACATTTTAGCTCTTATCTCTCTCACTTTCATTGAATTTATTTCTTAAACAATCTAATTGTACAGGATATTTTATGAAAAGCAGAGTTTGTTATGGTAGTCCTTCAGAAAAGCCCACACCCTTCTTATATCACCCTTCTTATATATCAAGTTGTTCAAACAATGCAAAGATGTTCATAAATGTTGTTTTACTTCAATTAAGGTTATAAATCATGTATTACCAACCATGCAGACAGAAAACGAAAAGTCACCAAAACATATAGTTCAAGTGAAGACACATATTGGGAAAAGGATTAGATTTTTCTAAAGCAGTTGGTGATTCTCTTTGATTGTATTGATATATCTTTAGGGCTTTTTCAAGCTATGTAGGCATTCTGGCATACTAAAATAGCAATCTTTAAGTATTCTCTAAGTATTCTTTAACTTCTTGGAGTATCATTATCTAGAGCAGAAGCCCAATATCATGTTACAAATTTACAAAGTATTCTGCCTTTATGGCAACACTGGTGTTTGAGTCCCTAGCAATTCCACTCCGGTTCCACTTTACAGACCCTGTTCAGCTAGACTTTCAGCAATGGGAAGAAGCAGTATTGGAGACAGCAAGGCATTATTTGCTGACTATTTAAAAAAATGAAAATATCTTAACTTTTGGTCTCTTAATGTTCTAAGGCCTCAAATGTTGAATTTAGAAGGAAGCAAACCCAGGGCCAGTTCCATGGCTCAACTAGCTAATCCTCTACCATTAGGCATGGCATCCCATAAAGGCACTAGTTCCTCTCCCAGATGCTCTCCTTCCCATTCACCTCCGTGCATATGGCCTGGGAATGCAGGATATATAGACCAATGCCTTGGGACTCAGCACCCATTGCAGAGACTTAGAGAAAACTTCTGACTGAATCAGCTCATTTCAGCTCAGCTCTGGCTCTCACAGCCATCTGGGAAGTGCACCAATAGATGGAAGATTCTCTCTTTCTCCCTTTCTCTCTGTGCTTATCTCTGTAAATCTGCCTTTCCAAAAAAATAACTAAACAAAAAATTCTGAAAAAGGAGGAAGTCAAGTCATCCCGGGATGGATGTCATGTCAGCTTCATGTCAATCCTATAAAGTTGGTCGCGAGGAAGCACTCGCTCTCAAGAGTTCACTGCATGGACCAGAACTCACTCACCCGGCACAATGAACATCAAGGTTCCCTCTGGTGTCTTGTTAGGGGAGAGGAAGCACTTTGTGAGGGAGTGATATTGGGGTTCACCTGATAGTATATGTTGGATCTCTGAAGGGATGCTTTTCCAGTTTGTTTCCCAGCAAGTCTGTGGAACCTAAAGCTGGGAGGAGGCAATGAGGCTGCATGAAAGGGAGAAGACAATGGCTTAACCCACTTGGCCATTATGTCAACCCCTCTTCTTTTCAAAAGATTAAAAAAACCCTATTTTTATTTTTATTTAAAAGGTGGAGTATCAGAGAGTACACACACAGAGGGAATCTTTTTTTTAAAATTTAAACATTTATTTATTTTTATTGGAAAGGTAGATCAGATTTACAGAGAGAAGGAAAGACAGAGAAAGATCTTCCACCTGCTAGTTCATTCTCCAATGGCCACAACAGCTGGAGCTGAGTCATCCAAAGCAAGGAGCCAAGAGCTTCTTACGAATCTCCCACGCAGGTGCAGGATCCCAAGGCACTGGGGCAATCTCTACCATCTTCCTAAGCCATAAGCAGTGAGCTGGATGGCATGTGAACTGCCACCCATATGGAATCCTGGTGCTTAAAAGGTGAGGACTTAACTGTTCAGCCACCAGGCTAGGCCCCAGAGAGATTTTCCACTCACTGGTTTGCTCCCCAAATGGCCACAACAGTCAGAGCTGAGTTGATCCAAACCCAGTGGCCAAGAGCTTCCTCTGGGTCTCCTGATTGGAAGTGAAGCAGCTAGGACATGATCTGGCACTCATAAAGAATGTTGATGTTGCAGGGAAGGCTCGGCCAGCTACGCCATATCTCTGACCCTCAAACTGAGAGTTTTAAAGCTCTCTAATGAGGCAGAATTGGTGATGACTGTGGTAGAACTGTACTAACAGAATAATCTCTGGTCATTCAAAGTTCTATGAATGTACAGTGTTCTATGAATGTACATTTCAGGTTTTAAACAGACAATATCTTAACTGAAGAAACATTCTTGCTTTTTGCAAACATTTGCGAATTTGTGCTTGTGTATGTAAAAAGGATAAAGGTAATGCTGGGAATACACTTTCATCCACTGACTCTGAAAATTGCAATTGTGAAGAACTGTACCAGTCACAAATTAGTACTTTTAATCTGATGATCACACTATTAGAAGTCATTCATGTTTAATCTTCTTTTATCAAAAAAATTTTTAATCATGATTTCTAGGAGCAACTATTTCTGATCTAAAAGCCTAACAATATGCACCAATGGATTATAAATCCAGGTGAGCTAAAAATTGGTGTTCAAGTTGCTGGCATTTTTTTGTATATATAAGGGAACTTTACATAAATTGGAGCTGTAACATTTGCAAAACTCTTGGAAGACATTCAGTTTAACTATTGAATGGAAAGAAAGCATAAAAAGCGATAGTAAGATGAGCCACAACAATCAGTAGTTAGGAAATAAGACACCAGAAATAAGCCATCACGTAAAAGTAATTTTAATAAGTGTAAATGGTTTCAGCTCACCTATTGTAGCTTAACCACTGTATAAAAGTTAGGCAAAAAGTAATGTGTTTGAAAGATACCTATTTTTAAAAGGACAAAGAAGCAGACTCAGCATGGTAGCCTAGTGGCTAAAGTCCTCGCCTTGCACACACTGGGATCCCATATGGGTGCCAGTTCTAATCCCGGCAGCCTCGTTTCCCATCCAGCTCCCTGCTTGTGACCTGGGAAATCAGCTGAGGACGGCCCAAAACCTTGGAACATTGCACCCGCATGGGAGACCCAGAAGAAACTCTGGACTCCTGGCTTCAGATCAGCGCAGTTCCAACCGTTGCAGCTGCTGTGGAAATGAATCAACAGAGTATTCTCCTCTGTCCTTCCTCCTCTCTGCATATCTTACTTTCCAATAAAAAAAAGGGGCAAGGAAGCACAAAACATGCAAGTTGGGGAAAAGAAATTCTTTTGGCCTAGCAGTTAAGATGCAAATTACAATGCCTGTTACCCACTTTCTGTCTTCCTTCTGTCTCTGTAAATCTGCTTTCAAGTAAAACTAAAGTACATCATTAAATATATATATACACATTTAGTTTTATATAATATATAATCATATGCCAATATCAAATATAAACATATTTAAATACTTTACATATGTACACATACACACACAAAGGTACATAAACACACATGAAACATGAAACTCCAGTAGATTTGATGAATTACCTTAATTGATTTTTGGCTGGTGGGATCTGCATTTTTATCAATTACTCCAGTGAAATCTTACGCACATTATTTCTCAATAATACCAAAATCCAGTGATCATATGCCCACAAAATGGATACATAAGTGAATGAAAACACAATACCGTGACAGGAAATAGAGTGTACAGTGGTTCAGGCTCACTGTTACAGCACACCTTGGGACCTTACTCAAATTAAGTCTTAGAATAGTCCTTAGAAATATCTCAGTATGAAATGACAAAGCCAACCTCTAAGGAAAGGTATCAGGCCATGCAGACACGGAGTCATGGACAGAACACCCTGAGGACAAGCAGCACAGCAAAGCTTGTACAGCCTGACAAGAGCCCCTGGGGCTCTGCAGCTAGGAGTATGGAGACCCAGAAGAACCTTCTAGAAGGAGCAGCTGCAGATCAACTGAGAGGTAGAAAAGGCGGGCCCAGGAGGGTGGCAGTGGCAGGCAAGCCAGCAGTCTCCAGAGACTCCACGGCTGATCTCTGACCTGCGGGGATGTGGACACAGACTAATAGAAGAGAACCTAAAGTGTATGACCACAGGAAGCAATCCTGCAACCAGGCTTGCTGAAGATGGGAAGCGGCCCGTGAGGCATGCTCAGGACGCCAGGTGGGAACACAAACTGAGCTGCAACAAGTCTCATCCTTCCAACGTCCCTCTCTTGTTTAGTTCCAAGATATAATAATGCACATTTGAAAATTTGTCTTACATGTCTTCATTGAGCATGATGTAAAAGTAAGAAGCATCTGAGTTCTCATTATAAAAGAGGTGCAAATCTGAGGATTTTCTTTTTTTTTTTTAAGATTTATTTATTTTTATTGGAAAGTCAGATTTACACAAAGGAGAGACAGAAAGATATTTCATCTGCTGGGTCACTCCCCAAGTGGCCACAATGGCCAGAGCTAAACTGATCTGATGCCAGGAGCCAGGAACTCCCTTGGGATCTCCCACATAGGTGCAGGGTCCCAAGTACTTGGGCCATCCTCCATTGCTTGCCCAAGCCACAAGCAGAGAGCTCAATGGGAAGAGGAATATTTAGCACACAAACCTACATCCATGTGGAACGCAGGTGGAGGATTAGCCAATTGAGCCATTGCACCAGCCCCTGGAAACTAGTTTCTAATCAAAGATCTCAATAAATCTTCCCAATGGTGAGAGAAAGACAATGTGTACACTGACTTTACAATCAAACATAAATTATAATGAATCATAGACCCCCAGATCTAGAAACTGCAGTTAAGTTATAGTACCATGCAGATTGTGAGCCTTCTCCCCAGATTAGCATTTCCTGGGATGTCAGGAAGGAACAATGCTGACTGACAGGGAGAGGTAAGAAAGCATGACTTGGAAACAGCACAGGATTGAGACACAAGGAGCCTCATATAGTCCCTAGCAGTGTTCCACAATACTTACTCATATACAGATACCCTTAACTACTATAGGGGGAGGCAACAGAGGAAAGCAAATGGATTGGTTTTGCCATGCATTTGCTTTAGAGCTACCTTACCTTGACAGATGACCTAAGACCGTGAACAATCCTGCCTCCCTGACATCAGGCTCCCAAGCTTCCCACCTGAGCACACCAGCCTCCCACACATTTTGTTATCTCAGAGGAGTGCTACCTCTGAGGTCAGAATTAGCTCTGCATGCTGTTGCTAAATTACCACAAGTCCTGTGTCCAGTCAATTGCTCACAGGAGTTCAGGCCCAGGAATTGTCCTCTGCTATGGTCTTGATTCTTCTGCGGGAATCAACTGGTGCCCAGTCCCTGCAAAGCAGCAAATATAAGGCACCTAGGGAGGACTGAACACCCACCTGACTCCTCGCCACACCACCCTCATGGTCATGTTGACCAGTCATGAAGGGCTGTGGAGCTATTCTCATTCCCAGATCTAAAGGGTTTCCAAGAACAGGAAAGTGAAACTGGAGTAGCACTGGAGTCTCCGTCCAAAAAGTGAATCAGTTCTAAGAAAAGAAAAAATTCCTGAAATAGCAAATAATCTATGGCTTGAAAAAAGAGAGGACAATCTCATGACTGGTTCATCTTTTATGACCCCAGAAACTTCATTCCTTCCTGATCCCTAACTCTGCAAAGGCCAACTGAACCAGGGTTTATGCAACAGAAAAGCTAGATCCCGGACAAATGCCCTCCCCACCAGCAGCCTGACATCTGTAGGCTAAGTCCCCACAGATCTTGTTGCTATTGTTATGGAAATGAGGGAAAGTGGGACAGATGAGTGTGTAAGTGTGGGATGGGGCAGTGCACAGGAAGCTGGTAGTCAGGAACCTGCAGCTTGCAGGGACACCATGCTGTCAGCTATGCTTCTCTGCAACTCCAGGAAATGCTTGGACGCATTTGAATTCGAGTTAAAGTCAGGGTGACAGTCACACAACCAGGTCACTTGTATCTGTCCCTGGATGGCAATTCTTTGAGGATGCAGACCCAGTGGGAAACAAAGCCCTAACCCCATAGATTCTACTTCGCTAGAGCACCTGTGAAGAAGCAAGCAAGCACAGTCTCTGCTTGTGGTGGCCCTCCTGATCTCTGTCTGGGCCAGATCTGTGGGTGTCTTTTGGGTTATAGTTTAGCCTCAGGGCTATGCCTGGCTGCTACTCAAGTTCTGGAGAAAAGTGAGAGGCAGAACTCAGCGACCTCCCAAGATGCAAGATGCTACTCTATGATCTATGAGTCACTGAAGAATTTAATCAGAAGTGTTTTGAAGAGATGAAACTAACAAAAAAAAAATCAAAATCCATGAGATTTGGTTTCCACTGATCTTTGTTCGTGAAAAGTATCTCCTGTAGGCAACAAATAGATGGGTTTTGTTTTTTAATCCAGTGTACTAATCTATGATGTTTGGTTGATGAGTTTAAGTCATTTACATTCAGGGTTAATACAAATAGGTGGCAATTTGGTCCTGTCATTTTAGCAATGGATCGTTCATTGATTTAGTCTTCTGTTGTCATTTTACTGGGATGTTCTTTGCATTTGCCTTTCATTTTGGTGAGTGCTATTACTTATCTCTGTCAAGAGAACATCTTTAAGTATCATTTGTAGGGCAGGTTTGGAAGAGGCATATTCTTTTGACTTTTCTTTACTGTGGAAGAATTTTATTTCATTTTCAAAGGCAAAGGAAAGCTTTGCTAGGTATGTTATCCTGGGCTGACAATGTTTTGCTTTTAGAATCTGGAATATGTCACGCCATTATTTTCTTACCTGTAGAGTTTCCTGTGAGAGGTCAGCTGTGAGTTTAATTGGCATCCCTCTATAGGTCAGTTGATTTTTTTGACGTGCGCATTTAAGGATTTTTTTTCCTTATGTTTGATTGAAGAAAGCTTGATTATCATGTATCATGGTGAAGATCATTTTTGATCAACCCTGTTGGGAGTTCTATATCTCTCCTGGATGTTGTTTCCCAATTCTTCCTCTAGATTAGGGAAATTTCTTTTACTATTTCATTGAATACATCTATAATCCCAGTTTCTTTTTCTGCACCTTCTGGGAGTCCCATAACTCTTATAGTTGACCTTTTAATACTGTCTTTCAATTCTTGAATACTTTTTTTTTTTTTTTAGCCTGATCCAGCCCTGCTTCCAGCTTTTTATTTGTTTCCCCTTGGTGACAGGAAATATCTTCTAATTTTGAGATTTTTTCTTCTGCCACCTTCATTCTATTTTGAAGACTCTCCACTGTACTTTTAGTTTGCTCCACTGTATTCTTAACTTCTAATATATCAGCTTTCATTTGATTCATTTCCTGTGTGATATATTCCTTAAATTCCTTGAACGGCTGTATTATGTGCTTCTCAATGTTGTTAAGAAGCTTTATAACAAATGTTTTGAATTCTGTATCCCCCATTTTCTCAATGTCTACTTCAGTTAACTTTGAGATTGGCAAAGGCTTTTGCTCCTTTGGAGGGGAGTCTTTAGAAATATCCATTGTGCCTTGTCTCTTCTTTGTTCTTGGTCATTGTACTTCTGGTTAGCAGATTCTTCTCCTTGGGGCAGGTTTCTAAGTTCTGTCACCCACAGGTCTACAGTCCGATTTTTCTTATTGCAGTCAACACACAGCTCTTTGTTTGCAGTCACTTGTGCCACTCCCTTCAGCGAGTTCCAGGTCTGGGTTATTATGTTAGCTTTCCACCATGTTCTCCATCGCCCAAGCTCCTGATCTACCACTCCCCACCTCTTGTAATACTGTGCTGAGGCTGCACCATTGTCTGTACAACCTTTCTCCCACTTCTGGTTTGAGCAGGTCCCAGGAGTCCTATAAAACTAGGTTGTTGTTCATGGTGATCTTGCCAGAACCTCTTGGCTGTTAGGTCTGAGGTGCACACAGACATGTGCACATGTGCAGCTCACTGTTGTCCCTGCAGTCCTAAAGTTTTTCCATACTACAAAATGGTGTCTGGTATATCACCACTCAAATTCTTGATCTGCTAGCCCTCAGGTCTGAGGGCTGCCCTGATCTATCTTGGGTGGAACCTGTAGGATGCCACATTGTTGCATTTCACTGAGCCAGAAATGAGTTCACTCCCAGCTCAGTGCATGTGCAGTACTAACTAGTCTTTGCCTTCTTAAACAAAATGGTGCCATATTCAGCTCTGGGGGGTAAACTGGGCTGTGAAATCCACCCTGTTCCTGCACTGCCTGCCTGGGATCTGCCGTTCTGCCTCTTGATTTGACCCTCCTGGTCAAATCAAACAGACCAGCACAGTTCTTTGTCTGGGTTCACTTCCTGAGCTCCAGGTGAATGTCCCTTTCCACCTTGTTGCTGGTGGATTTCCAGCTGCCACTGCAATTTGGATCACCACTCTCTGAATGCTGCTTGGGTATCCGTCACTGCAACACCACACCATTGTGTCCGCTGCTTTCCTGTGTCTGTCAGTCTCCAGGTATCCCTCTGCTGTTGTTCTGTCCTTTCTTGTTTCCTGAAATGTGCCTTGTCTGCTTCACACTGGTTAATATTTGTCTGTTTAAATGTGTCCTTACCCTATTCTGCCATCTTGATTCATTCTCTCCCTCTCTCTCTTTCTCTCAGTTACTTTGCCTTTCCAACGAATAACCTGAGTCCTGACATGGTCTCCAAGTCTCTCATGGAGTAGAACTGAGCTTTACACTGGATTATTCCCCACCAATCCAAGTGTATGGAAGACAAAGCTGCTATTTGATTCTGAAGTGTACATGAGTGCTGGAGGTTGGGAGGGGCCCCTTAAATGAACAGAATAAGAAAAAGGGCATCAGACCTGTGTTCTCCTCTTCCCCACACAGCAGCTCTTTCCAGGAAGACGAAAGTGAAGGGTTCTGCCTGTAGCTCAGGCTCCAGCTGGTAATACAGGGCAAGGAGCCAAGCTGGTGGCCCGGGCTCCAGTGCCTGGAATGTCCCCATGCACAAACTGTTGACTGCCATACATGTCTTCCAGAAGTGCAGCTGTTTGGGAGTAGTGCAGCAGGATTCTGGAGTCACTGCAAAGGCCCATGAAAGGGTCTCCTTTCCTTACCCACATCAGCCCTGGGGTTGTTATTCCCCCAGGTTAGCTGCTCCAGCTAACCTCCCCACCCACTCAGCTCCTGTCCCTGAGTAGCCCTAGTGAGTGGGAATGGAGGAATCTGACTCAGCAACATTGGCAGTTAACTTGGGGCCTTCTTACCTCTGTCCTCTGCATTGAGGTTCCCATGGGACATGGCCTGATCCCAAAGCTGGCTTTGTGATGAAGCACACTCAGTTCTCTGGCCATGCTCAGGGATGATCTTCTCTCTCCTAATCACACAAGGAAACAGGGGTCTTTAGCAACAAGCCTCAGATCCTCCTCAGGCTGCAGGCTTCTTGTCCTTCCCTCTAGGGACAAGTCAGCAGCAGGTACAAAGAGTCTGCCTCAGCCTTTTCCCTCCTCCACCTCCTCTGCTTCAGTCTCTGCTCTTTGGGGGCCCCTAAAGGAGATGCAGGTGATAGAAGGTGGCAGGAAGGGAGAGGAGAGGCAGCTGGAAGATGCAGGTAGTCCCATTTATGTTGTACAGATGTGTCTGGCCTCTGGGGTGGACAGGCCATTTGGCTACCACGTTTGATTGTGAAGGAGAAGGGGTCCTCTTCTCATAACCTCTTTGAGACTGGGAAAGCCACCCAATTTCAGGGCCTTTTGGTACCTCCTGGGACCTGCAAGAGGTGGACAGCCCATTTGCATTCACTGGTTACTGCCTCATGGACCTCGGTTCTTACTGCTGTTGGCCTTGAGGACGGCACAGCTACACATTCTGTAAAGTGCTCCTTGCCATTGAGTTTCCTCAGTTGGAGCCTGGACCTTTTCGGGCCAGGGCTGGAAATCTACAGTTAAAGCTGATTTCTCAGCATCTTGGCAACCAATATGCGCTCTGTCACTTCTTAGTTTTGGTACTCTCCAGAACACAGGCACACTCAGTCCTTCTGTGCATTTTCATAGCCCTTTGCTCTGGAAGCCCCTCACTGACTTACCATACTCTGTGGGAGAAGTGTTGCTTGCTGTCTCCTGAAGATATATTGACTGTCCAAGGGCACGCTGCAAGTCCTGAATACTTGAGACTCTAACCATGACTTTCTCTAAGTTGCCAGCTATCTTAGATCAGATGGGCTGCCACTGTGAGAAGACTCCCAGTGGGTAACTGAAAAACAAGAGACACTGCTCACAGTTGTGGAACTGGCGAAGTTGAAGATCAAGTCTGCAGGAGATGCAGTGTCTGTGGAGGACTGCTTTGCTGCATGGATATTACCTTCAAAGTGTCCTCACAGGCACAGGCATACACAGGTTCTTCAAACCTTCTACGAGGTCATTGGTACCAGCCACAGGGACATACCCTGCATGCCTCTTAAATGTACTGCATTGGTGATTTGGGGAATCAAGGGAGTCAGAACAGTAATCCCTGCCAAACATGACCCTATCAGTACACAGCCATGATGCAATGATGCTGAACAAACAGCATGGGTGTACTAACTCTGGTTTCTGAGATTGTCAGCCAGTCAGTGCAGAACCAGATGTGAAAATTGCTGAAAATATTGGGGTTAGAGGTCAGGAGCACAGAAAGTGGGCTGGGCAGGTGGGGAGGGGGTCACAGTATCTGACCCAATGGGGTGCTGTCAGTGCAGGTAGAAGGACAGGGCAGAAGAGCACCTTGCTGCCTGGTACCAGCCACAGTCCGGCCAGGAACTCAGAGGGTGGCTTGTTGGGGGGTAAATGCTGATCCTGGCAGGGGCAAGGCAGCCAAGGGAGACAAATTGTAATGTCTCAATTCACCGCCTCACTGCAAGTAGAATGTTGACAGTCTCACAGGACTCTGTGCCATGCACAAGGACATGGAGTTAGGGTGAAGAGGCAACAGGACCCCTTGTCAGACCCTGTGGCAGTAGGATGGCCTCTGCACAGGGAGCAGGAATCCCATAGGGCCCTCCCCATTCATCTGGGCCAGGGTCAGTGTTGCCACACTTTCTGCAGCATTGGGATCCTGGCACCTTCAGACAGAAGTAAGTGAAACCATTTCTATTTTTGATGCTCATGGAATAGACTCATTTCCAGGAAATGAAATTGAAAATTGTCCTCACCTGATCTCCCTCCCAACTGGGGTGGGGAGGCGGAGTTGGGAGAGACTTAAATATGCAGGAAGGAGACAGTGAAGGCTGACAATCCACTCCTCACTCACTCTAGCCTTTTTCTTCTGCTCAAGAGAATTCTCTGCTCTTTCTACCCCACTTCCCATCCCTCACTCCCATCATCCCATGTGCACTTGGAGTCCAGTCTTGGATGATCCAACCAGGATCTACTTCTGTGTGGAAGTGCAGTGACAACATCCCCAGGAAATGAGCCATCTCAAGCGTGCCCTGTACCCCCAGATCACAGACACCCTGCTTCCAGTCACTGGTAAGTAAAAGGGCTTAAAATGGCAAGCTGGCCATAAACTGGGCTTTTCTGTCTCCAGTGGGAGCTGATGCCCTAACATTAAGCATAAGGAGCTTGAGGGTCTGGCTTGTTTCCTATTATAGATGAATCCAAAGCAGGTGTCTGTGGCATTGCGGGTAAGTCTAATCTCCTTAGATACTTGTGCTGCTCCAAATGCTGCCCAGTCAAGAGTGAGAAAGAATTTGCTTCGGTCACCGAGACTCACCTGGCATCAGGAGTTTCTCTCTGAGATGACTTTGAACAAAGGCAGGGTATGCCAGTCCTATTCCGTAGAGGCTATTTTCAAATGTTTTCATGTCCAACAGGAGATCAGGAACAGCACAGGCAATGGCTGGTTTGACCTGGACAACTCCAGTAACTAGCTCACCAGGCTGAGCCACCTTATCCAAAAATAAGGATCTGTGATGTGAAGGTCTAGAGATTATGTGTCTGCCTGCTCTTTCAATTCTTCTAGATTAAAACATTTGTTTGTAGTGAAGAGCCCTGTCTTTGCAACAGGGCACTAAATAGTTCCTTTGTGGATGACTGTAATGCATGTGTGTGTGCTTGTGTGTGTAGTGTGTGCATGTGTGCGTGCCTCTGCCTAAAGGCATGCAATTGTGGGTACCACAGATTGAGGGAAAGGAAAGACCTAAGGTCGCATTCCATGTGGCTCAGCACTGATGGACAGGTGAGCAGATGGACTGGGAGATGCTCGCTCAGTTCACAGACATGGTCACAGCACAAGTCTGGAAATACACCGTTATTCTTTGTTATTATGGAGCACTGGTTCCACAGTTCCCTTCCCTGCACAGACACCAATCTTCTCAGGACCCTCTTGTTATATGGTGCAGTATTTGCATATAAACTATACATAATCTAGTTTATACTTAATGTTATTATTTTTAAATTAATTTCAAAATTTTAACGGGAACTTATAGTACATCTGAAATAATCTAGGTCATTTATGACACCTAATACAATCCAAATCCTATGTAAAAGCTTGCAAACTGTTTATTTAGGGAGTAACAACAAGAAAGTTTCTCTGTATGTTCAGAAAAGACAGAAGCATTGTATGTCTAAGAAGTATTGGAGGTAACAGTGATTGGTTGCATCTGTGGTAATGGAACCAAGGATAGGGAGACCCGGCAGTATTGAGCCTTGTGCTGACCCTCACAGTCAGGATCTGATACCAGTGCTGTCTCCGGGGCCTTGCAGGGGCCAGACATTGGGTAGATCCATTGTCTTGGGCACTCAGGAGGCAAATTCCTGGTGTGTGAATTCATGAGCACATGTCCGATAAGAGAGAATACAGACCAGGCATGAGTGTTGGGGTGAGTGAGCATGTATCAGCCTGGGTAGTTAGGTGTGTGCACTGAGTGTGAGTGTTCACCAAAAAAATGCTAATGTGAATGTGGGTCACCAATAGTGAGCTATTTGGGTGGGTATGTGTGGGCAAGTGGACACATGGAGACCTGAGTAAGCATGTGGTATGTGCAGCAAGGAGGATTGAGTGTGTGTGTGTGTTTGTGTGTGTGTGTGATGTTTAGCTTCAGTATATTATGGAATGTGAACACACGTCAGTGTAAAGGAGTGTGTGCAGATGTGTACTTTAAGTACATGTGACTGTGACAGTGCTGTGTGTGCCAAAGGTGACTGAGTGTGTATGGTGGAGTGAATGGAGATTACTTGGCATGGGCAATGTGCATACCAAGCTTGTGTTCCAGTGTGTACAGGTAATATGAGATGTGCAGCGCTACATGTGGTTTTTGCAGTAAGTTTGTGAAAGAGGCCTACCTCTCTAGAAGTAAGGTTATCTTATTAGGTTTTAAAATTTATTTATTTGAGCAAAGACACACACAAACACACTGACACTAGAACTCAGACTGTGGCACTCAGGTATGAAATGCAGCTGTCTCAGCCAAGGTCAAAACCATTAGGCCAAATGCCTGCTCCCCATTTTCCTTACATCAGCCCCCAAACCTTGCTCCATGGATAATTTGGAAGGATTAAGCTTGGGGCTGTAATGATGACTAGTTGTTTAGCCATTGCCTTGAAGTAGAGCAGAATTTAGTAAATGGAAGAGTCTCTCCCTTTACTTGCAGCCCAATAGGATAATCAAATACAAGCTCAGGGAACAGCCAAAGAAGGGGGCTGACTTCACTGATACTGCAGCATGTCAGACTGTGCTCACCTGCCTGGCTGGTAAGGTCAAGTGGTAGAAAGTGACATTGACCATAACTTCAAAGAGGCTAAAGGAACTGGATGTTTTTGTTCTCTGGTGCCACCTACAGCAGAGAAATACCTTCCTGACTATTGCCTGGTTTTTGCTGATCATAAAATAGTATCTAAAAATCATGAAGGAGCAGACTTTCTGTATTAGAATAGAGTAAGAGAGAAAGACCAAAGAAAATCTTCCATGGGAATTTTTGGAAGAGTTCTTCCACTCCCCAAGGCCTCTCCCAGACACATTCCTACTCTGGAGGCACAGCCAGCCTCAAGTGTCCCACAAGGACCCTGCCCCCACACTCCTCTGCAGCAATGTGCAAATTGCCTGAAAGAGCTCCTGTTGCTCACTCTGCATTCAATCCAAACATCTTTGCTGTGATCTTCGATGCAGATATGACCTTGAGTTTAGGGATGCTAACCAAGGTCATCTTGGGTACCCTGTTGTATTCATCTGTGTGACTCATGGGTCCTTCTATTTCTGCAGGTTATACCAATATGACAGAGCCCCTGTCTTCCCCTTACACTCCATTATCTGCATCCTTGAACTCTGTTGTCCCACACCAGGAGGACTGCAACATCTTATTTGAGAATGAAATTATAAAGATCAAGAAAGATATAGCGGATGGAGACTTGCTGAAGGTAGTCTCTGACATGAATAGGCCTCTGAAGGTAGTGTCCCAGGCGCCAGTTAACATTGCTGTGACAGGAGTATCTGGCAATGGCATGTCTACCTTCATCAATGCACTCCGCAACATAGGTCATGAGGAGGAAGCCTCTGCGCCCACAGGGATAGTACAAACAACCCAAACCCGTGCCGCCTATGTGTCTTCCCTCTTCCCAAATGTGCTGCTGTGGGACCTTCCTGGCATGGGGTCAATCACTGAAACCCTGCAGGACTATCCGGTGGAAATGCAGTTCCACCAGTATGACCTCTTCATCATCATTGCATCCCAACAGTTCAGTGTTAATCATGTGAAGCTTGTGAAAACCATCAAGGACTTGGGAAAGAAGTCCTACATTGTCTGGACAAAGCTGGACCAGGACCTCAGCTCAAGCATCCTCCCAGACCTTGAGCTACAGCAAAACATTAGAAATCACATCTTGGGAAGTCTCCAGAAAGCACGAGTGTGTGAACCCCCCATATTCCTTGTTTCCAGCCTTAATCCCTGTTCATATGAATTCCCACAACTTAGAGACACATTAGAAGAGGACATCTGCCAAATTAGACGTGATGGCCCTCTTCAAAACATGATACACTACTGTGAGCAGATCATTGACAATCAGGTGACCTCCGTGCAGAAGACAGTAACGGTTCCACCTTTGCAAAGTGTCTTTGGCATTTGGCACGTGGATGATCTCGCTGAGTGTCTGAAATCCTACCGATCAAACTTTGGTGTAGATGATGAAGCACTCCAGCAGGTGGCACAGAGGAAGGGAAACAGACTCACAGACTACACGGATGTCATGAAGTCACATGATGCACAGCGTCTCAGAAGCAGTGATCTGAAACTCAAATGCATGACCTGTGTGTTTGCAAGGATAACCCTCTTCCTTCTTAACATCTTCCCACCTTGTAGATTTCTTGTCACCTACTTCAGAAAAGTGAAACAGAGATACTTTCTCAAAATAGTTGCTGAAGACCTGAAGACAGTCCTAACTAAAATCCTGAGAGACTCTGTCATGCCCAATAACAGTCAACGTGGGATAAGATCTTCAGCAGGCTCTTTCTGGTTTGGCACTGAGGACTATGGAGTGTGAAGGGTCTCATCTCACTGAGGTACAGCTTTCCCCGCTCCTAACCAGACAGATCTAGATTCATAGTTTCTTTTATGTCTTAGTATCACAGATGCCTTCACTGTTCTCCCTAGCACACACCAAAATGTTCCTCTGGGTAGCAATTTTGTTGCTGTGCATGAAATCAGTAAGCTTCCCAGAGCCACAAGGTGGAAACTGTGCCTTCCATTGCAAAGTGCCCTGCATGTTCGAACCACCCCTGACTTCATTAAAGCCAGCATTATTTTTCCTTAAACCTTGTCATTCTCCTCTCATTTGTCTCTTCTATTGACTGGACTTAATGGGACATACCTGGTACAGAATGGCTTGTCATATTTTAAGGGCCAATCAATGTGGTGGAATTTCTCTTTGAAACCTAGTGGGTATTGGGGCCAAGAGTGCTGGCATAGCTTGACTGCTGCAGAAGCTGTTACCTTCACAGCACTCCCCACCAGGAACCTACACCCCATCAGTGTTTCTAAAGTGGATTATAGTACATAATTTCAGGGTCCCAGCAGAAGGTTCAGCATGACCCCAACCTGAGACATGAGGAAACTTCCATGAGGAAGACATTTTTAAAGGTGTGGGCAAAATGTGGGAAGACCATCACGACAATGTGTTGACTCTAATTGCAAACAACAGGAATGTTGGTCCTCTTCACGCTAGTTGGACAAAGGGTGGCAGGTAGCTGGAGTTTGATGGCAGGGTCTAGATAGACCTACTTGATGAAAATAATGGCCACGCTATGCAAGATATTTGCATCTAAGCACCCATGGGCTGACAGGGGAATGGAAAAAATGAAACGTTGTCCTCATTCTTCTCCCAAAGAATCTCCTACCATTGACCCCCACCCTCACACCAGACCAGATTCACCTGCACAGAATCCAGATAATGTGACTCCATTGATTGGATCTATAAGGCAATATGGAGAAGGACAGATGGCCAGCTGCTGTTTGGAATGAAAGACAAATATCCCAGGAGAGTGCAGAATATGAGTGCAAGCCAAGAGTAATCCAATGCCCACAGCAGAGAGACTGGCAAGTCTCATCTGAACAGCAAACCTGAACATTGATTGACCAAGTTCATTGCAGTGCATGTTCCTTGGGTTTGGGAAGGCTTTTAATCCTCAATACACTTTTAAAGACACAGCTGTGAATGAGGCTGTGCATACCAGTATTTCTTCAAATTCATTTCTTCCAGAGCTGAATGAAAGATTTACTCTTGGCACAATAGCCTAGTGGCTAAAACCTCGCCTTGCATGTACCGGGATCCCATATGGGTGCCTGTTCCTGTATCAGCTGCTCCACATCCCATCCAGCTCTCTGCTTGTGGTACCGGAAAGCAGTAGAAAGTAACCCAAGTCCTTGGAATCCTGCACCTGCACCACTGAGGGAGACCTGGAGGAATAGCTTGGATTCTGGCTTCAAATCATCTTAGCTCCAACCATTGTGGCCATTTGAGGAGTGAATTGGTGGATAGAAGATCTTTTTCTCTCTGTATCTGCCTTTTCAAGAAAAGTAAATGTTTGTTTTTATAAAAATCAAAGTTGCAGTTGCAGTTTTCAGTTCAGTAAAAAAAAAAAAAAAAAAAAGTGGGGCAGAGTTTCATCTCCCATCGGATAGACAATCATTGTATTTTCAAGTGCTCCTTTTGGAGTCCTCTGGGTTTTATTCAAGTAAAGCATCCCAATCTTATTCCATCCATGAGAAGGGTGGGAAATCACTTACTATTCCATGCTCTTCTACACACTGTTTTTAGACACTCATAATCTATCTTCAAGCTAGTCTTTAACCACCTGTCATTTACATACACTGAAGATGGGCCACAGCCACCCTTTCAGGAGCATGTTGACCAGATTTCATCCATTTCTGTGTTGAAGAATTTAGGAGCCTATTGTGCAATGCAGTTGTCTCCTATTACACCTAGCTCAGGAATAACAGGCAGAGTCCATTTCACAGGCTGTGACGTAAGGAAACACACCCTTAGGTTACAAGAGAACTTTGATGCAGAATTTGCAGCCATCCACTTTCTCATCCTTTCTTATCTGTGTAAAAATCTATCAAACAAAAATAAATAAATCCTTTAAAAGTGTGTAGACATGTGGCAAATTAAAACACGCCACAGAACATGATCAGTAGTTTCCACAATTACAAAGGTCCTAAAACATGATAGGGGTGACGAAGGAGATACAACTATCAAATTTACCACTATTCTGGATTGGGTCCTGGCTAAAATATTTCTAGAAATTTTATTGAACCTAAATAAAGTCTACAATTTGGTTAATCACTTAGTAGCAAAGTAAAAGTTCTTATTTTACAAAATATATCATGGTTGCATCAGATGTCAACATTCAGTTAAGCTGAATAAAGGCTAAATGGAAATTCTGGACTATTCTTGCAATTCTTCTACTAATTTAAAATTGTCTCAGATGCTGAAAAGTTAGATACTTCATTTTACACAGTGCAAACAATAAATCATTTACATAATCTATCAGATTCTACACAATATCCCTCTGACCTTTATCCACAAACTTTTGAAACAGAAGCACTACTTTCCTTGTTTTTTCTAAAACACACTAGGTATGCTAAAATTTCATGATCATTGAACACTCTATTTATTCTGTCTGAGTATTCTTTCACTGACATTCTCCTCTACCTCAAGTGCTTATTTTAAAAAGTCCATGTATTTTACAATTCACTTTTCTATTTATGAAAAAAGTCCTCTTGAATACTGCTAAACTGACAAAAATTATAGATTTTTATCATGTACAACATACTTTAACAATACATTAACACTGTGGAGTGATTAATTCAAAATAACATCTATCATCTCATATCCTTATTTTTGTGGTAAGGATATTTAAAATCTACTCTTAGAAATTATCAATATAGGGGCCCGGCAGTGCAATGGCCTAGAGGCTAAAGTCCTCTCCTTGAACGCACCCGGGATCCCATACGGGCCCCGGTTCTAATCCCGGCAGCTCCACTTCCTTTCCTGTTCCCTTCTTGTGGCCTGGGAAAGCAGTAGAGGATGGCACAATGCTTTGGGACCCTGCACCCGTGTGGGATACCCGGAAGAAGTTCCTGGCTCATGGCTTTGGATCAGCATAGCATTGGCCGTTGCGCTCAATTGGGGAGTGAATCATCAGATGGAAGATCTTCCTCTCTGTCTCTCCTCCTCTCTGTATATCTGACTTTCCAATAAATAAATAAATCTTTAAAAAAGAAAGAAATTATCAATATATAACGCATACTGTCAACTCTAGTCATTTGGCAGGACTATAGTTTTCCTGAATCTTCCTTCTGTCCATCTGAAACTTTGTATCCTTTGATATCTTCTACCACCACTCTCACTATTTGGCAATTATTATTTTAGCCTACCCATGTAAGTGGAGGTTATGCAATATTTGTCTTTCTATGCTTAATTTATTTTACTTACAAGAATATTGTCCATGTTAATTTATGTTGTCATAAATGACAGCCATTCCTCCCTGTTTAAAAATGAATAGTATCATGTATTTAGAGCACACTTTCATCATCTACTCATCTATCCATAGACACTCATGTTGCTTCCATTTCTTGGCTACTGTGATAGTGCTGCAATAAATCACGCAAGCAAAGATTTGCTTCCACATACTGAGTCCATTTCCTTTAGGTACATACTCACAAGTGGAATAGTCAGATTAATGACAGCTCTTTTGTCTGTGTTTTGAGGAACCTTCACATCAATCTCCCTCAATGGCTGTACCAATTCACGTTCCCACTAGCAGTGTACAAGGGTTGCCCTTTCTCACTTCCTTACCCACATTTGTTACTTACAATATTTCCTATAATGGCTATTTTGATAGAAGTGGCAGATCACTTATCGTGAACTACTTCTAGTGATAAATTAAGTTTCTTTACTGTATTGTAAATTTATAATATGTTGCCTAAAAAAAATTAAGAGAGAGAGAGAGAGAAAGGGATGAAGAATGAAGGTGGGAGGGATGGAAGAAGAGAAAGGAAAGGGAATGCCGCTGTATTCTTAGTACTGTATCTAGAAAACACATTGAATATGTTAAAAACCAACCTTAAAATACCAATTTTTAACATTTAGAGAGAGAGGGAAACAGAAACAGAGAGGGATATTTTTCCTCTCTCTTTTTCTGTCCCTTGGAATACAGAGTCTCTCTGTCATTTGCAATACAGATGTCTTAGTTGCCAGGTTGAATACCTGTCCTCCATGTAATGATGGTAAAGCAAGTATTATGGCAATGGCACAGAAGCTAAATACCTGCCTTGAAAGCACCAGTATCCCAAATGGGCACCAGTTTATTTTCTGACTGTTTCATTTCCCATCCAGCTCCCTGCTCGTGGCCTAGGAAAGCAACAGAGCACACCCCAAAGCCTTGGAGACCAAGCAGTTACTGGCTCTGGCTTCAGATCGGCTCAACCCTGGCCTTTGCAGTCACTTAGCAAATGAACCAGTGGACAGTAGATCTTTCTCTCTGTCTCTCCTCACTGCAAATCTGTCTTTCCAATAAAAATAAATCAATACTATTTTTAAAGCAAGTATTAAAACCCCATGAACTCATATTCTGAAATTATTTTATTGCTGTATAAATGTAACTGACAATATGAGTAGTTTTTATCACACTCACTTACTCTTTTCTAAGAGAAATGCATCTCAAACAGAACTCACACATAAGACCAACTTAAAAAGAAAATACATTGAAGCAGCTAAGAAGCCACTTGGCACACACACATCCCCTAAGAGTGCCCGACCTCAAGTCCTGGCTCAGCACCTGAATCCCAATTCTTGCTCACACACACCTTAGGAGACAACAGGTGGCTCAGGGAGTTGGCTCCCTGCCACCAATGTAGGAGACCTCAGCTGCATGCCTAGCCTTGACCTTCAACCAGGTCCAGCAGGTATTTGGGGAGTGACCAGGAGATGCGAACTCTCGATTTCTCTACTTTTCAAATAAATAAAATTTAAAAGAAAGAATACTGTGGTTATCAAGCAGGGGGAAACGAATTCTAAGGGAACTTCTGATCTATGACTACACCTCCTTGAAAACTTACAAATATGTATTTTAGTTTGCTAGCATAATTATTTTTAACTTGGATGAATTTTAATGGCTATTCAAATGGATACAGGATTTCAACATAATTAAAATATTCATAAAACCAACTCTACCTAAACCTACAATAGAGGGAAATTTACAGCAATAATTACAGATCAGGCAAGAATCCTAAAATACCTAAGCATTCCTCTCTCAATAGGTTATGATGATAAACACTGTGAATTGAACTCCAGGAAAGGCAAAAAGAACATGATTAAAACAAGATGAAGACAGAGAAAACCACAAAATAGTGAAGAACAACACAACAGTTAAGATCAGCTAAATGTTTTAGTAAAATATAGTGTGAATTCTATAATATTTCTTCTAGAAAAGAGGAAGGATTCCATTTTCTGGCACATTTTATTTGATTAGTATTACTCCGAGGAGCAGGGTCCCAAAGCTTTCCTGCTCTCCCAGGTCACAAGCAGGGAGCTGGATGGGAAGCAGGGCTGCCAGGATTAGAACCAGCACCCATATGGGATCCCGGTACATTCCAGGCGAGGATTTTGACCACTACTCTATCACACGGGGCTCTAGTCCATTGATCTTACAAACCATTTTCCACAGATACTTGACTTGTCCTGACACCACTCCAAAGAAACAAAATTTTCTCTGTATTCAGAATACTTTAACCCTCCTCAGTCTACTTTCTTAATTACCAATTAACACAAACAACATAAAAATCCATAATTCTACTATGGGTTCAAAACCAGAGTCACACTTGAATTCTACTACTCCCACTAAAACACCTCCTTTACATGTCAGGTAAAATGAACCAAGTTCTCCCTGAAAACTTCTATCTTCCTAACTCCAAAGTTCTGTTCACAAGCTCTCTCCCTGACAGGACATCTTCACCCCTCGCCTTCTCATCAGCACTCAGATCATTCAGATCAGCTACAGCCACATGCTGTGAAAAACACCTTCTCCAATTCTGCCAGACCTTTACACCTTTTCCTGAACTTCAAAACAAGCCAATTTTACAGTCAGGGTCATACCTTCCCCCAAACAATTGATGTCTTGGGAAAAGTTTGACTGCGATTGCCTCTAAAACTTTTTCACACAAACTATATTGAAAGCTTCAACAAGAAACAAGAAACGCCCACAACCACTTTCAGTTACTTGTTGATTATCTAATAAATGCTCACAACAACTATTCAACATCTATTAAGTTCTCAGCACAGGGTCAACAAATGAGATGAAACCTAAGCTGCAGACAGAAACCTAAGCTGCAGGCACCAATTAATCTAAAAAAATAATAATAAAGGTGACATTTTACTTACCTTGTCTCTGATGTGCCCGATTTTCATCTGGATAGAGCCAATGTGATATGTCTTTCTGTATGGTCCATGGATCTTCTCCTTGTTCCAGCTTGGAGATGATATCTGGTTTGGGAACTGGATAACCTATGAAAATAGAAATAAATGAGGAAGTGGGTTGACTGTATCAAAAGACATAAAGAGACAGTTTCAGGTGATCTATAATGAAGTGGTCCAGCTAACCCCAACACTCGGATTCTGCTTTACTGCTGATACTCAAGTGTTTCCTTTAATTTTCACAACCCTGTGAGGATTACAATCTCCATTTTCTAGATGATGAGACAATCCAAGACAATATTAGAAAATATTATGCATCTGATAAAACAGTGAAAAATGTATTACTACCATGGGAACATAATAAAGGGGTATACAGAAGTCTGTATCAGACAGAAAGTTAAAAATCAGGTTGCAGAACAAAATACTATAGCATTATTTTTTCCAAAAGAAATACACAAGAGATATTCTCACATATTAGTACTTTCACTTTTACACATTTAATCCAACTACACTTATGTAAAAAAAGGTTTTGAATAGTTAGAAACAAATGATTAGCACTGATTATTCCAGGAAGAGGAAAGATCTCTTCGTTTTTTATTTTTATCTGTTTACTTAGTTTGAAATGTCTGTACCATGCATACAGTGAGTACTGGCAGATAGCAAAATACAGACAGGTAAAATGGAAGAGCAAGGAACAGCCTTGAATTGGACACAATCATACAAACTCTAAAACCACAGCAAAGGATATGGAAGTATCAGAGACATTTGCTCTCTGAAGTTTTGTCAGATAAGTAGAAGCATAGTTTAGTAAACTCATTTGAGAGAACTTTCTGGAAGACCATTCTAAGTGTGTTATCTTTTCCATATTATCTAGATTATCTTTGGCTGAAGCAGAAAACCTCTAATTAATTTGCTCTTACAGTGTACGAATCAACAAACTGTTTTCAGCAAAGTATATGTACTCAGCACTGCTATAGGCATGTGTAAAGAAACAGCCTGGCTGTTAGGGTCACTGGTTAGCACTTGGACGGGAGAAATGGCATGGCTGTGCTCTAGAAAAATCTTTGTTTATACAAACAGCCTAAGGTGGACACTTGGCCTGCTTGTTAAGGTACAAGCTAAGATGTTTGCATGACACGTTGGACTACATGGAGCCAATTCCTTGCTCCAGTTCCTAGTTCCAGTTTTCAGTTAGATTGGGGAAAGCAGCAGGTAATGATGGTTCAAGTACTTGGGCCTCTGCCATACAGAGGGAGACCTGGACTGAGTGTCCAACCACCCTCTGTGTCTCTCTCAGCCTCTCAAAATAAATCAGTGTAAAAAAAAAGACTGCTAGAGAACTGGCTTTGACCCACAGGTAACAGTTTATGACCTCCTGTTCTAAATCATAAAGCTCAAGGCCAGTGGTTAAGACATTAAGTGCCTTACCTCTGAAAAAATTTTAAGACACAGCTACAAAAAAATCTACTGCGAGAACAGTTTTCACTCCAGTACCTAACGAAAAATCCAATAAAGACAAACTTTTTTTTAAGCCTTATGTATCAAGAAATGTTTTCTTCCCATGGGAAATTTTTCTATTTTTCCTTTAGAGAAATGCAAATCATTTAGCTAGTGATGTCTGCAAGAAAGATCAGAAAAATTGATTATATAAGTTCATAAAAATATTTAGTGTCAGGTTTTCTCCATATGCCCAGCCACTCTATCTAGGTTTAGATCTTCACTGTTGCTTCCGCAATGCAAACTTCAGCTACTGGTACTTTCCATCTGATTGTATGGATAAGCAAGTTGGATTTTCAAAAAAGGCACTCACCTGGGACTGCATCATTTTCTACTCTCTTCCAAAAGGGCAGATGCCTAAAAAAAAAAAAAAAAAAGAGCAAAACCAGTGATCAGAATCCAGTTTTCATAGCCCAAACTCAGACTGTAGCTTCTACATTCACTGGTCTAGAAACAAAATAATGGGCGACCCTGTGGAAGAGTTTGAACCTTAAGGAAGTGTTGGCAAGCACTGAGTGGAGAAGACAGCCAACCTGCTCTCTTCTTATGCCTATTATGTGATTACATGGGACTTGGGGGAGGTTTTTTAATTAGACAGATATAAACATACTTATGGTTAATTTACTATCATTTTATCATTCCCTCTGTGGAGCAATAATTCTATTTATGACACACTATCATAAGACAACAGTAATGATTAAAGGATTCAATTGCAAAAGGACTTCCCACACAATGAGAAAAATGAGGAATGCATTCCCTGGTCCCCAAAAAGAAGTGTAACTGAATTCCAATAAGCTCCTAATCACGCTTTCATTTCTCCTTAATCAAGCAAACTCTCCTGCCACAAAAATGTTAACTTTGAGATCTCTTCTGTCCACATTTTTAGTGCTAATTTTCCAGTGTTGTTCACTGTATACAAAAATAGTGACAGGAAAAAAAAAGAAGAAGAAGAAGAAAGTGACAGATTGGGATCACTGAAAGAAAAAAGCCATCTACCTGGCAAGGTTCTTTTCATTCCCAAGAGAAGTTAGGACTGGGTAGAATAGGGGATATGGGGACTTTCCATGATCAGGAGATTGTTTGCCACGAAGTAGTCTAGGTCTCGTCAAAATATGTATGTAAGGAAACATCTGAATGATGAGCGAATGTTCAAAACATGACCCGGAAAAAGGAACACTGAAATCACGCCTCACGTAATCTTTGCTTTCTTTGTCCCTGTCTTCAAACTCTCATTTCTGAGTGAGGCACTAGGCAAAGGCGACATCGGCCGGCTGAGAAAAGACGTGAAAAACGGCGTGTCCTTTAATTCAATAGTTAGTTGCCCACACCTGGGGACACTTAATGTCCCTCAAAGCCTTTCCCGGTAAACCGAGGCAGGCGCTCGCTCGCGATATCCTGACTCTAGTCATTATGCCCTCCAATCTTCGAACAGTCGGGTCTGCCAGCTACATACCCCACCGAAGCCCACCATGAGGACGCCACACATTTGGTCCGTGCTCCCCCACCGACGGCGTTCTCTTCAGAATCGCCGGCTTCCCCGTGACCCTGGTATTCCTACCAAAGGGACCATCCACCCGCTCCTCCTGACACCACAGACTCCCTCATAACTCCTCACTCCCCATTACTAAACACATACCTCAGGCCGTTCCTGACTTCCAAACGCCCTCATTTCAAATCCCACAGACCTCCCTCACGAGTTTGTCACTTCTCAAACCTCCTGTCAGGGACCCCCTTGGGTCCCCTTCCTCCGCTACTTCAATTACCACAGCACAAATTTTTCCCCTGACTTGCCTGGCCTCGAAACGCCTAATGTGGCTTATAGGGTACGCCAGTCACATCCATGAAAGCGAACAGTCCCGCTTCCTGCCCACGAGCCAAGCCCGAGGCTCCCGGGCTGGTGCCTTTCCGTACAGGGAAGCTTTGTGGAGGGCAACATGGCGGCTCCCGTTCTGAGTGGTGGGCGCCATCTTGCGATTCCTGTGGGTTCCGTACAAGCGCAGGAATTCCGTTCAGTTCGCGCCTCAGACTGGCGGGAGTCGCCGGGGAAGGGAGCCGGGAAGAAGGTGTAGATGATCACAGAGAGGCTGGCAGGGCGGTTGGAGGGAAAACCTCTGTTGGAAGTCTATTTTGTAAAGGTATTTTCAATAGCGATTCTGTACACGTTTGTGTTGGTCAACTGTGCAGTTCCCTCCTGGGCAACCGGACTTGTTGAGAGGGTGTATGAAGTGTGGTACCTCCCGGGGACCCCGCTGTGGGTCAGAAGGAACGACAATCAACTTTAACAATAAAAAGCAAAACTTCTGGGGAAAATTGTAACCACAGCAGTAAACTCCGGGACAAACGAAGGAGAAAAGAAAATGGGGAGAGCGAAGAGTGAACTGAGGGACAGAGCTTTGAGAAACGGAAATCAGAGGTTTTTGTTTGGTTTGGTTTTGCTTTAAGCTAGTGGCACACTTGACGCCACGGGCAAGCACACACCCATGAGGAGAGAGGCCCAGCTTGGACTGCCCCTCCGCAGGGACTTGGCCCCACCTCTGGGCCTTGGCTGGAAGGTCCTGGAGGGGTTCAGAGTCGGGTCTATCCCTTGGTCACTGCAGAGCTGGAGGGCTGCACAGAGGGCCATGTGTGGGTCAGCCAGTCCAGCAAGGCCAGACGTGTGAGGTGAGGTCAGCTCTCAGTTGGACTTCCGTGGCAGAGCAGGTCAGGGGTTCTGGTACTAGGGATGTGTTGCTGAGGTGACAGACCAGGAAGAAGGCAGGAAGCCAAGATGGCTGTAGCCTCTTGGTAGATCCTGGTACCGTGGCGTGACACCCAGGGTAGGAAGTGCCGCAAATGTGTGTGCTTGTGGGGGTTCAGATTGGAACGGCCAGGAGTGGGGCTGGGCCATGCCCTGAGCTCTTCTCATGTCTTAGAGATGTGTTCTGCCATGTTTGGATGACCCCAAAGTCATGTTGACATTTTATCCTCACTGTGACTTGGGAAAGGTGGACCAGCTGGTGGATGAATTGAGGGTTACCTCAAGAGAGGGTCTGTGCAAAGCCCACTGTGTTAGTTATTTAAAACAGAGTTCTAGGGCCCAGCGGCATGGCCTAGCAGCTAAGGTCCTTCGCCTTGAACGTGCCGGGATTCCATATGGATGCCGGTTCTAATCCCAGCAGCTCCACTTGCTGTCCAGCTCCCTGCTTGTGGCCTGAGAGAGCAGTCGAGGACGGCCCAGTGCTTTGGGATCCTGCACCCGCGTGGGAGACCTGGAGGAAGTTTCTGGCTCCTGGCTCTGGATCGGCACAGCACCGGCTGTTGCGCTCACTTGGGGAGTGAATCATCGGACAAAAGATCTTCCTCTCTATCTCTCCTCCTCTCTGTATATCTGACTTTGTAATAAAAATAAATAAATGTTTAAAAAAAAAACAGAGTTCTAGTTGTCACATTATTACTACAATATTATTACATGCAGCTAATTCCCGCAATCTGGCTCTTTACCATCGAAAACACCAGATGCAACGAGGGGTCTTAGGGGGTTTATTCCAGTGGGGCAGGAATAGGACAGGGTGGTGGGGAGACGAGGAGGAAGGGGGAGGCAGAGGTGGAGGGGGGAGCCGGAAGGAGAAGAGAGAGAGCGAGCCGCATCTGGGGACCGTTTGTCACTCAGGTGAGGCTGCACCGTGTGGGGGCGGGGATTGGGAGGGATTGAGGGCAGGCCCCAGGGGATTGGTGCTTGAGACTGTCACGGGTGATTGCCCGAGAATGATTGGTAAGTGGGCGGAGTTGGGGAAGGGGCTGGGAGATTGGGGGCGGGATTCTCAGGCGAAATGCTGGGTCACATCTGATTGGTGGATGGCTGGACTGGCCCGAAGTTCTTGAGCTGTGAGGAAAATTGAAATGGTACTGGTGTCGCGCCCACGTGTCTTACTGCCCAGCAATAAGACGCAGACGCGAGTGAAGCCTTCTGCGGTAAAATTTATTGCGCGCACCAAGATGAGGAAGAGGAAGGGGAGGCGACCCCGGCAGGTGTCTGCTCTTATGTGCTGACTGGCCCCGCCTCCGCCGATGATAGGTCGGCGTCATGATCACGCAGGGTCCTGGGCGACCGGATTCGTCAGTCCCCCGTGTTCACGTGCCGGCCACGCCGCAGCTCACTGCGCATGCGCTAGGCACCTGCTACGTGACTCTCCACCACGCACGAAGGTGTGGCTTCTTTGGCTGGCGCCATTTTAGGTACGGCATGTGGCCAGTGCATACAGATGCGGCTTGCAACATACTGGGTCCAGGGTCGGGTATTCGAATAACTCCTTACACACTGGGCTAGGTGTCTTGTTGGTGCCCTGCTTGCCCTGTGCTGCCTGCCCTGCCTGGGAACTCTCCCGAGTGGTTACCAACCAGCAAGACAGGGCCCTGAGACCCTGGGCCTTTAACACTGCAAGCCGATGTGGTCTGCGGTGCTGAAGAAGAGAAAGCACTAAGATAACGGCCCAAGGCACGGACGTGAAGTGTGGACCCTGGAAGGAGTTCCCCACAGACAACGTTACAAGGTATTACAGTTTGCATCAAGTTCGGGTGTCCCTCAGGCCCACGTGTTGAAGGCTTATGTAAATAATGTAAGGATGGAACTTGGTCATTAGTTGTGGGGCCTGAGGGCGGGGCCTTGGGAAGCGCTTAGATTGGGTTGGGTTTCAAGGCAGAGCTGGTGGTGGAACAGCTTTGAGGAGAGATGGCAGGAGTGAGATCCTGCACTGGCATCCGGTCGTCCCTTGCCCTGCTCAGGCACCTGATGGATGAGGGCTGTGTGAACAAGGACTGTGGTCCCACACGGCTGAAAGAAACTCCCTTCCATAGCGGCAACGAAAGCTAACCGAGGTGAGGATAGCTCCTGCCTGTGTTCAGGAAGGAGCAGACTGCGGCGAGCGCCGTACCCCGTGAACACCGTGCAGACAAGCCGTTGCCTTCGCTCCTCTCCGACGCTAGGGCGGTGCGAGTGGCACGGGCTTCTTGCTTGGCCACAGCCAGATGTGAATCCAGGCTCCCAGTAGCCATTTCTGTGAACCCCCTTTCCTCATCCGTGGAGTTGGGGTTGTGAAGCCTCTTCTCTGTGGGATATGAGAAGAATGGAGCCAGCGGAAGTGTGTCTAGCACGTCACCTGGCATGGGAGAGCAGCCCTGAGCCTGGCGCCCGGTCCTCAGCTTCCCAGTGCAGTGAGCTGTGTCCGTCACGACAGGAGTAGTGCTCCGGTCTCTAGACAGGCAGCTTCTCGCAGAGTGGAATGGTGGCTTAAGCCATTGCTGCCCTGCCAGCATCGCTTACAGGTGCCAGTTGGATTTCCTGCCGCTCTGTCTCCCATCCAGCTCCCTGCTAATGCACTTGGGGAAGCAGTAGCAGATGGGCCCGAGTGCTTGGGGCCCTCTCACCCCTATGGGAGACAGGTGGAGTTTCAGCCTTCTGACTTGAGCCTGGCCTGGTCCTGGCTGTTGCAGTCACTGGGGAGTGAATCAGCAGGTGGAAGATCGATGTCTCTGTGTCCCTGGAGGTGCCCGTGCACTTCCCTTGAACCGTCCTTGCGTTACAGACCACGCTAGGGCCCTCTGCCTTGGTTGAGCCCACCCCTTTCGTGGGAGTGGCTACCTGAGCATGCTCTTGACTCTGTCCCACTAATACTCAGGCACAGGAGGTAGAGACTGGGTGTAATTGCTGCTGAGGGCTTTTGGAATGAAAGCTAGTCTTCTCTGGAAGCAGACCTGTACTGGGAAGCCTACATAGACTCAGAAGCTGGAGGTGAGAACCTCCCCCACCTCCAGCTTCCTAACCTGACCTGGCTGGGCTTGCAAGTGTATGGGTTGTGCTGCCAGATGGCCTGAAGCCTGACGCGAGCGGGCTGCCTGAATGGGGACATGTCACTTCTCTGAGCTCAGAACCCCATTCTGAGTGGGACCTATAGGTGAGGCGTGGACCCAGGGAGGGGTCACACACACACACACACACACACACACACACACACGCCTGCACACACAGCACAAAGGATGCCCACCCTGGCAGGTTAACTCCCTCTAATCCTGACATCCTGTGCAGTTAAGGGAGGGCTGGAA